GGCTCAGGCGATCCTTTTGCCTCAGCCTTCCAAGTAGCTGGAACTACAGATGCACACCACTATGCCCGGCTAATTTTTGTAATTTATTGTAGAGGCAAGGTCTCATCAAGTTGCCCAGGCTGATCTCGAATCCCCGGGCTCAGGCAATCTTCTTGCCTCAGCCTCCCAAAGTCCTGGGATTACAGGCTGAGCCACTGCACCCGGCCCCAATTTCTCTCTTACTGTGTTGGTCCTCGTAAAGGGAATAGAGCCCACTCTTAGAGTGTAGTAAAATATATATCCAAAATGTTGGGACAATTAATTATCTTTCCTACATTTTCTCATTTCTCAAACCCTACCTATTTAGTTTGTAGAAGCAATTCATAGCCAGGAGTGGTGGCTCATGCCTGTAATCCCCACACTTTGTGAGGCCAAGGTGAGAGGACTGCCTGGGCCCAAGGGTTAGAGATCAGCCTGGGCAACATGGCTAGACCTCATCTCTACAGTAAATTAAACTATTAGCCAGGCGTGGTGACTCATGCCTGTAGTTCCAGCTACTTGGAAGGCTGAGGTGGAAGGATTGCCTGAGCTCAGCAGGTCGAGGTCGCAGTGGCCGTGCATGCCATTGCACTTTTTGAGACTTTGATTCAAAAAACAAAACAAACAAAGAAAAAAAAAAAACAATTCATGTAGTATCCATAGACTATTAGGAGCTAAAACTCCAACATCCTTCTACAGACTAAACTAAGGTTTAGAAACATCCTACAGCTTTTCAGAATTTGCATACTTACCTGGAGGAGAAGCTAAAACCAGCATCCAGATTATTTTCCCCAATCCAGTGCTCTTTCTACTGTATGATATGGCCATCTCTTCCTGTTTCTTAAATTCCCTTTCAAGTGTTAAGACTTAACCTCCTGTTCCTAGTATTCTAGGATTTGGAGAACAAATTTGTATTCATCTTCTTCTTGGTTATTTAATATAATGCGTTTGACTTGAACTTTGCATTTATTTTTGCTTCAGATTGTTACTGCATTTTTAAATTTTTTTTTTTGGAGTTAGAGTCTCACTCTGTCACCCATGCTGGAGTGCAGTGGCACACTCACAGCCACCGCAGCCTCTACCAGCTGGGCTCAGACAATCCTTCCGCCTCAGCCTTCCAAGTAGCTGGAACCACAGTCATGTGCCACCATGCCTGGCTGAATTTTTTTATTTATTGTAGCAACAAGGTCTCACTATATTGCTCAGGCTGGTCTCGAACACCTGAACTCAAGTAATCCTCCCGTCTGTGCCTCCCAAAGTGGTGGGATTACAGACATGAGCCACCGCACTGGCTTTACTGCATATTTTAATGAGTCCTACACCGTGTCCCTTGGTAGTCTCTATTTTGTTTCAGAAATCTCCCAAAGAATAGAGAATTTACAATCAGTTCTTACTTTCTCTTCCCTCTCATCAATCACATTGAGCATTTATTTTCTAAGTTTCCACATCCCCCAGATAACAACCTCATCTGATGGGATGACTTGAAAAGCCATCTGATCATAAAAAAAAAAAGTTTGTATCTAGCTAATTTATTTTGCTAAAAAAACTGCCAAGAGGCAGTTGTTACCCACCAGAGAATAGGAGCTTTCCTTTGTAGGCCTCTATTGACTGCTTGCATTGTGGTGACCTGCACCCTTGCACAACTCTCAGTGTAGCATGTGGTCAGTAATTACTTAGGATCTGCTCCGATCTGCTCAGATGCTCAGAGGAGTAACCTGGAATCTAGATCTTCAATCCGAAGTAGATGTTTGACTTGATTAAGAGAGGAAAAATTATAATTTCTTTGTTTCCACTGTTAAATTTCACCACTCTCTGTTTGCAAGCTGTACACTTTTTCTTTAGTGCCTCTCTTTTCCCCCTGTTCTTTGGCACATACCATACCCACTCACCCTGTGAAACAAGAGAAGAAGCTCTTACTTGTTACTTCTTAGGATATTATGTTGCTGATTGAATCCTGAGGGAAAGAGTAGTCCAAGCTAGGTCTATTGAGTTTGACTTAAACTGAATTTAAAGATAAAATTGTTTGAAACTTATTTTCTAGTCCCTTGAGCACTTTTTCCTTGGGATCAAGTAGGAGCTTGAGACTTGATGTTGATACCATCAAATTATGTGGCTCATTTATTTTGAATATGATATTGTAATAAGAGCTTTATGTTGCCTGAAGAAAATTATTTTGTGAGTTATATGGGAGATGGATGAGAGCTCTCACTGCTGCTCATTCATTATTTCAGTCCCCTCTTCTCTCTTGCTACTTAGAGGCATCCTCACTGGGGTGTCTAAAGAGCCTTCTCAATACTATTCTCTCACTGGGGACTAAACAGAGTCACTTGCAGTCCTGTCATGTAACTGACAAGAGGAGTGACTCATTTTCTTGTGCACGTTTCTTAACCAGTTTATCTTCCTCTTGTAAGCTTTGCTACCTCTGCTGCTCACAGCCGCCCCCCCATTCTCCCCACTTCCACTAAGTGGAGGAAATGCTTTTTTTCTCTTCCTGATGGTCCTCCTGCCCTTCTACCAGATTCCTATCATGTCCTTTGTGGCCCCATATTAGTAAGTCCTCCAGACGGGAGAGAGAGGCTTGGGGAAGAATGGCCATAGCAGCTGACTACGTTTATGGGAGACAACCCATTCCACTGTGTCCCTGAAGGCATTCTATTGGGCATTATTGAATTGTAAATCACAGAATTAAATGAGGTTTGCAGATCCAGCAGAGCAAGATTGGAAAAGAGGGCCACATGGCCCTGCCCTTATCTAAGAACTCACCTCTTAATAAGTTCCAGATGGTCAGAAGCCTCCTGAGTCCCTCCTCTCTCTGGGAAAACTTCTTTCTCTAGCCCTTTCGGCACAGGGGGTGTTTATGCTCTGCAGGCAGCTCTATACTGTCATGCTTGAGGTCAGGTTCCTGACTTATCCCTGGAGACAATATACTCGTCACTGAGGAGAAACATGTCAGATATTTTTACTGTAACCACTTCCTGATTCAGAAAACTAGAGTCTCCTAGATGGGCAAAGA